GTGTGTGTGTGTGTGTGTGTGTGTGTGTACCTGTAGGTGTCTGTTGCCCAGCTTCATGTTGCGCTGTTTGAGAAGCTCCAGCTGCGTGTACAGACGCCGAAATTCCTCCTGGGGACACACAGACAGACAATGTAATTATTGACTAACTAACTAAATGACATAGATTAGGTAATCATTGACTAACCATCTAAATGACATACATAGAATGGACATCACATCTTTGATTAATCAACTTAGTGACACAGACAAAAATATAATCGATTAATCAAATAAATGACACCGACAACATATTATTGATTAAACAGCTAATTAAATCACATTGACAAGACATCAATGATTAACCAACTAAAAGACACACACACGGTAATCCTTGATTAACAAACTAAATGACACAGACACGGCAATAATTGACTAACCATATAAATGACATAGAATGGACATCACATCTTTGAACAACCAACTAAATGACACAAACAAAATATTGATATATCATTAATGAATTAACTTAGCGACATTGACAAGATATCATTGATACATAATTAATTAATCAGCTTAGTGACACAGACAAGATATCTTTGATTAATGAACTAAATGGCAGACAAGATAATGATTGATTAACCAACTATGTGCCCGGGCAAGATAATCAATGACTAACCTACTAAATGACACAGACAAGATAATGAATGATTAACCAACCAAGTGCACGGACAAAATAATAATTGATTAGCTAATTAGATATGTCACAACATGATGGAATTAGGTGCTGATCAACCGTACGGCATGAGGTATTGTTAACATCTCAAAACCTGTTCATTCATCTTGCTTGTGATGAAACAAATGCTCATCTATGTTGAATAGAAGTCAAGATACTTGTGATTGAAGGAGGTGGAAGTTGCCTCATATCAGAGTTAAAACTTAGGAGAAGATGGTCGCCAAAGTTTTCTGACTATCAAAGCTTGAATGTCTTTGGATGGAGTCTGTTTGGAAACTGCAGTTTTATATATTTTTGTGCCTTTTATCAACGTTTTTCCAGTAAAAACCACACAGAAATAAATTTTTAAACAGACGCAAAAGGTGTTTGAGCAAAACGAAAAAAAAAAATCGAAACAAAAAGTTAATATTTCTTCAATTTCACAATTTTGAAGGTCGCCTGATTTCAGGACGAAGCCACACAAATAAGTGACCAACTTATAAACCAACCAATTACCACACTGCCAAAGAACTAACCGATCAACAATGCGGGAAATCACAGAACAGTCAACCTATTAACCTACCAACCAAGTAACCAGTTAACTAACCACTAATGCACTAGATGACTGGTTACCTTATTTATGCAGAAATAACTAAAAATTTAAATAAATAACTATTTTGACTAAATGGTAGACTATCTAACTAGCTAATCAACCAACAAACTTATTGGTCAACTAACTTAGCACAACGTTATACGAATCAGATTGGACAAAGGGGAAAAAGTCGACTGACTACATTAATTTTATCTTAATCTATCTCCCGTTAACTCGCAGGGTCTGAAGCTCATTCATGTTTTACACACACACACACACACACACACACACACACACACACACACACAGAGAGAGAGAGAGAGAGAGAGAGAGAGAGAGAGAGAGAGAGAGAGACGAGGTATATAGATAGAAAGAGACTGACAGATAGGGGCAAAAGGAGATACAGACAGAGAGACGGAGAGTGAGAGAGAGAAAGAGAGAGAGAGAGAGAGAGAGAGAGAGAGAGAGAGAAAGAGGAAGAGAGAGAGAGAGAGAAAGAGAGAGGGAAAAAAGAGACCTGTACATTTGACCATTATCAACTTGATTATAAACAAATCACCAGCATCCTTCCACAAGCACTTTATTAATTGATTTTCATCATATTTTGAGAGAAAAAAGTCAAAGAAAACGAAATCACTTAAATAAGAACAAGGACTTGGGCGCTCATTATTTTACAAGCAATAATTAAGAAGAAAATAGCATTATGGAACGATGTAAGATGTCCCTTCTTTTTTTTTCTTTTTTTTTTTAAA